GAAATCGACTTCAGGCGATGCAGGGACAGCTTGCTGAAGCACGCCGACGCTGTGAACCACGACTGGGGGAAGAAGCCGATGTCTTGGGAGTATGTGAACCAGCAGAAGCTGGATGGCTTTCCGCTGGCGAGGCTTGGTCGCAGGGTATTGTTTTTGGTTTGGAGTTATTCGGCTATCGGTTTGGGGTTTGTAATATATTCAGATTTTGGGACCGAGCAGCGATAAGGCCTTCGCAGCGGGCCGGAGCAGCCGCCAAGGAGGATGACGAGGACGACGGCGAGGAGGACGGCGAGGAGGACGGCGAAGAGGAGGAAGAGAATGCTATGGATCCGACAGTGGAAGGCTCCCTACCACGTGATCATAATCGTAGCAATTTAAGTAATCTAGGTACAGACTGGAATATACTAAACCGCAAGCCCTGACTCTAACCACAACCATCAAAACCCAATCCTAAGCAAAGCTCTTTGCCACCTCAGGTGGCTTCGAGCGGCTGGGCTCCGCGGCCACTGATCTTTTGACGAACAACGGAGATGATCTACACTAGGCACATGCAGAAGTTTTCTTGTGTTGGTTCTGTGCTGTATATGTCGAGGCTCGATATATAAGCTGGATATCACCGGAGGTCCTCCAAGAACCATCTGCCACATCCTCGAAACCTCAGATGTGCTCCGGTGCAATCGACCCCTGGATGTATACCCAGTCGCACGAACTTTTGCTAGGAGCCCTAATTCCCAAGTACCCAGCAGCTTCAAACCCTGAGCCCAATCGAACGCAGGCTGTGAGCACGGCTTTCCAGGAGGCTTTCAGGAGTGAGCTCTATAATCCCTAGCGAAATTGATGTCACTGGGGTATGATATAATTGGTAGAATAGGTGCAGGATGGGTGAGGTATCATTTCGTGGGCCCCGTCGTTCCTGCAAGCCTGGAAGGACACATATAGGCCTACTAGTTTTCTGGATCACCTACAATCGATGAGTAGTCTCATTTGGCCTAGTGTCCTTTCAATGGCTTTAAAAAACCACAACATTATGGAGCCTACTTATGTATGTAAGAAGTAGATCTGAATCAAGCGGCCAAACCTTCAAAGACCTATCAAAGCACCTTGTGAGCTCAACTCCTCAGAGAGCACTCTGTGCGGTCCCGCTATCGTAGCAAACCCGAAAGACCGTTCAAACAGTTCAAATGCCCGTAATACTATAGCAAACCCAAGTCCCGTGATCCCATTTGGAGAGATTTCGACAGCAGCCTTTCTTTCAAAAGGCAGCAGCATGTACAGCTACGCAGCCGGTGCAGGGTTTCCGTACACTGTATGCATGTATTCAAGATAGTTCGGTCTGTATATATATATATATATAGGTAGTTACAGCGAAATACATACATATACATATCGATACCGATATATATATATATATATATACAGACCGAACTATCTTGAATCTTGCAGCTAGCTGTGCATATTATAATCGAGGAACGATTACTGACCGGGGTTGTAAAATACTCTTCCACATCGCAGTATAAGCCTAGGAACAATAGCCCTGAAGTCCTTGGTTTCTACGCACCCATCCCGACCGCTTGCAACTTAGTGCTTTATTGCTTTTGTGGAATTTGGAACAACCCGTTACCCCAGCAACCTGAAACTTAGCTAGGATTCAGGTGGAGGGTTCTTGGCTTTGGGGGTGTGTAGATAGGAGTAATGTCTTCTGGCATTGCTTGTTGTTCCCGCCAGCTTAAGTAAGGACTATATAATAGGGCTTTGGAATTGAGGGCTTCGGCGACTTGGGGTTTCTAGGGCCGAGGCTTTTGATCTTAGCAGCACCGTTTGCTTCCGCTGCTGGCGATCGCCCTCGAGATCTGTTTTTTTAATGGAGCACCACTGAGCTGTGCTGAGCGGACCAGGTGTCGTGCCTACCACCATAGTCTGTACTTGTACCCCTAAACCGTAAACCCTATATGTATATTCCCGGACCCAACCCAATCAATAGCAGGACCCTTCTGTGCCTAATGTGAGCTCGTGATTATTAAAGGTCCCCTCAATAGAGCTAAACTCGGCCCGGCACACAATAATAAAAGGTCCCCTCAATAGAGCTAAACTCGGCCCGCACACAATAATAAAGACCCCTCAATAGTCCTAAAACCCGTCCCGTCCTAAAATTTTTAAGGTTTAAGTAGAGAAGCACTCCTAAAAGAGCGGAGCAAGAGGGCTGCTGGAGCGAAGAGGGCTGCAAAAATCTGCTACTATACTACTACTGTACTACTGTACTACTGTACTACTGTACTACTGTACTACTACTGTACTACTGTACTAATGTACTACTGTACTACTGTACCACCCCCGGCCCCCAAACAACTTCGACCCCGGACCCCCCAAACAACTTCAGGTCAGAGATATGCGGACCCCCCGTTAATATTACAGGGACTGGACTTGTTTGGGGGGGGGGGGGGGGTTTAATAATCAGGAGACCACATTAGATTGCCGAAATGCCTGTCCGATCCTTCCTATGTTTGTGCCTCTAGACTCTATAGCTACAACACTCAGTCATTATACATCTGTAGCCCGGCAGCCGCTGTGTGCACGCAGACACCTGGACCTCACCACAAGACTTCGAGCATCCTGCACGCCGGCCCCTGTTGCACATGGCCTAATTCCCTGTATACATCTGACATAGGTCTGTGCTTCTTATACTTGACGTCTAAATCCGTGTGTACCTAGGATAATACGATGTAACTAAGTTACACACATATATATATAGAGGGGGGCATGCACATTTCTCGCCGTGATGCAGATCATATGTTTGTAGGACTCGAGAACATGTGGCAGTACAGCCTGCCCCGACAAGCACGACACGAACTCACGGATAGAGACAATACATACTGCTGTGTGTGTATATATACATATATATACAGGCATATATATATATATATATATATATATATATATATATATTAGAAGCTGCCCCCACCCTGTAATAGTGACTATAAGGAATATATTCATATTATATTAGGGCCCTATTATATTCCTATTAGGCAGCTATTAATTACAGGGTGGTGGCAGCTTCTAACATATATACATCTTCCCAGCAGTCGTAGAATGAGCCGACGACCCATGGTATGCTTTACTATTCAGGCTGCAAGGCTTTATGTGTTGTTCAGGGGTTCCAGTCTTTGGCAGGGATTGATGTGCCACACATAGTGTGGGGCTTGGGTTTTCGAGGTTCTACTTATTCAGACCCCCAAAACGATCCAAAAAGTAGATCGCTGATATGGTTCCTATAATTTAATAGGACCCTTTAATTATAGTAGTATAGGATCCCAAATTAGGGGCTCTACTTTTTGGATCGTTTTGGGGGTCTGGGATTTAGAGGGGTGCGAGGGTTGGAAGGGTTCGATACCCTAGGGTTCTACTTAGTATTCTTTAGGGCTCTATATATGTAATAAGTTCAGGCGAGGTTCCAGATTGGATGCATCGGGGCAGCCAGGCCAGGATCCAGTTCGAAGCAGCCGGTTGCTCGCATCCGTCCTCGATGCAAACCATAAGTCGTCGTGCAAAACAATAAAGCCGAGAACCGCCGAATCCGTGTTGTGTGGTCAGAAGCCCAAAACACCAGGCAATGAGGTATCCCCGAAGAGGCATCATCGGTATCATGGATCATAGAGAGCCAGCGATCTTGATGAGCCGAAGTAGATCCCCGATGAGGTCCCCCGATGAGGTATACCCTAGTTGGGCACCAGCTGTCGTGCTCTGTAGAGAGCTACAGATAATGATGAGCCGAAGTAGATCCCCGATGAGGTCCCCGATGAGGTACCAAGGCCCTGATTCCAAGCCACCCGCAACCCGAAATTTGATGGTGTGGTGATGATCAATTTAATAAAGAGACATGATTGACGATCTGGATACGCAGTCAAATCTAGATACCTAGTGTGCTGGTTTCTGTCAATCTAAAGACTAGAAACTTACTTACCCAAATCTCCAGAACTCCTTCCCGTATAGGTTATGTATACCAATGGAATTGTTTCGCCGAGTGGATGTGGATACGCAGTCGATTCTGGAACCTCTAGTCGTGTTTGGGATTGGTCAATCTAAAGACTAGAAACTCGTCTCCCTAAGGCTCCGCACTGCTGTTTGTATTTCGGATCTAGATACGCATGGGTTTCTACATCCTTCCGTTGCTGTGGTTTGTGTTAATCTAAAGACTAGAACTTACCTTCCCCAAACTCCTGTACAATCTATATGGGTAACCCTAGCATAGTGGCACCTCCTAGATCTAGATACGCATGGGTTTCTAGATCCTTCCGTTGCTGTGGTTTGTGTTAATCTAAAGACTAGAAACTTACCTCCCCCAAACTCCTGTACAATCTATATGGGTAACCCTAGCATAGTGGCACCTGCTAGATCTAGATACGCATGGGTTTCTAGATCCTTCCGTTGCTGTGGTTTGTGTTAATCTAAAGACTAGAAACTTACTCCCCCAAACTCGTGTAATACTATATATAGGTTTATGGGTATCCCTAGCATATATATATATATATATATAGTATGGGCTTCATAGATATAGTACCCCTCCGGAGTTGAAGACCGCCGGCGGCTTTCGTGATCCACGCTCAAATGCAGGCGAAGGAGCTGCTGGCATTTTGCCGACGAGTAGCTCGATCGATAGCTGTAGGATCTCCGCAGACAAAATGTCTGCACAGCCAGACAGCTTGGATACCCAGGTATCCCAATGGCCTCAGGAGGGCGAAGCAGTGGCTGCTGCCATGGCCTTGACAACAGCCCCGACCGTGTCCCTGGATGCCTATGCTGCGACCCAAGTCAGCTCGCCTCCTCCTAGTTCGAATCCCGATCCGACCTCAACGCCTTCGACCTCTGATGCGGAATCGAGGCCTGAGAAATCCTTAGAAGCCCCTGCTTCCACCAAGCAGCCTGGAACGAACTCTCCGGAAGCCCCTGATTCCGCCAAGCAGCCTGGAAAGAACTCGCCGGAAGTGATCCTCACAGACTCCGCGATGATGGAGGCAAGGACCAACTACGCCGAACACCACGGCCTCACGATCCAGCAGGTCACCGAGGAGATGATCAAGGGCTCTGAGAAGGGTCCTATTCACTGGGCTACGGTGAAGACGAATGTGACAGCTCGTTCGGCCACGGGACAGGCTTTGCAAAGAGCCTTGAAGCACAGACCGGACGTCCGCGAACTCTACCAGGTTCTCTTGGATTCGGAAAAGATCTCATTTCGCCAAGCATGGGCATGCACGAAGAGCTTCGAGTTTACAACCGCCCGCCGCTCCACTACGAACACGTTTCGGCGGCGAAAGGAGGACATCGGTGTGTTCAAGACGGAGTTGCAGCTCCAGCAGCTGCTGGGCGGATCGGACAAGGCCGAGGCTGTGTCCCAGGCTAGCAACTACGTGAACATGTGCATTCGGCCGGACTTGAAGGCTGGGTCTCTATGGTAAAAAAACCCTACCCAAAAACTTAAACCCTTGAAGCCCTAAACCACTTGAGTCCTAAACCTGCTTTGTTCCCAAAACTTAAACCCTGAGACATCCTTAAACCCAAACCCCCTCCAGCCCTGAATTTGCTATGTTCGCAAAACCTAGACCTAAACCATGAAACCCGCAACCCCTTAAGCCACAAAACCAGCTTCCATGCCCTGCAGCCCTTCTGCTACATGTACAACGACTGGCTGAAGGCCGACACGTTTCTGTGGGTGGAAAGTTTGGTGAGCACTGCTTCCGAGACTGCCTGGATGAATGAGGTGACGGTGGAGTCGGAGAACCCCCTTTCTGGCAGCTGGTCTGAAAAAGCCGAGTTCTGCAAGGCTGCACGGGTGTATGCTGTGGAATACCAATGTGCTCCCAAAGATGTCACTTTGGACATGCTACAGCAGACGACACTGGGAGTCAAGGGCTTTGCAAAGCTCTACGAGTCCACTCCAGCGGCCTTCCCGCAACCTGGTGGCGATGGCTCCGCTCCGAAGCAGACGGCCGCGAATCCACCTGCACCGGCTGCTCCCAAGGCCAAGGCTAAAGCGGCGGCTAAGGGCAAAGCTAAGGCTATGAAATCCGGCGATGGTGCTCAGGGTCCTGACGGTGAGAATCCTCTGCTTGGCTCTGGGGGAGATGGAGATGAAGGCCAGGGTCCTTCTAAGAGGCCCAAGAAAGGTGCAGGCAACCCCACCGGCAAAAAGGAGCGAGAAGTCAAAGAGTTCTTAGCCCTGGAAGCCGAAAGCGACAATGTGATGTCGAAGATCGCATCCTCTATGAGTGCCAACCCCGCTGTTTGGAGTTGGGCGAAGGATTTCGTCCAGCAGTATCGGAGTCTCCGAACGGAGATCCTTGCTATGTACGCCGATGTTGAGTTTTTTGGCCAAATGAAGATCGCGGCACTGAGTGCCAAGGAGACTTCTCGGCTGAAGAAGATCTACGGGCTAGATTATCATTCAAAGTTGTGCGAGTTTTGTCTGCAGATGGGCCCGAAGATTGCGATGATGTCCGAGTGTACAAGCAAGATTCGTTCTATGTCCGATGCTCAAGCTGAAGCTGCCGCCGGCACCCCTTCAAAGGCTTCTACGAAGTCGAAAAAGAAGGTGCCCAAGCGATCGGCCTCCGCAGCATCGCTGTCCGTGTGATCGAAATCCTCAGCTGGAGGGGTGCAGTGTTGCAGCTTGGGTTTTTTCAAAGCCGGGTTTAGGGTGTGGGGTTTAGGGCTTATTAGGGTTTAGCGCTTATAGCAGCTGGAATGTCTTAGTCTTTGAACCCACACAGCATCAACCCACGCCCGAAAAAATCCTGAAGTACTCGTAGCTGCTCCCCCAAAAGTCGTTGCATCCCGAATAAAATCCTGGCTTACCGAAAACCCTTGCTGAATGCACTGCTGGTATGGGGAATGTGCTCAGCCCGATCGGGGCAACCCGGCTAAGCCCGGGCGGCTGAGCGATGCGAACCGCTTGTCGCCGATTGTTATTGCTGGCCGACATGATCCCAAATTCCTTCAACTTACCACAAACCAGAGATTCCTATTCCTCAACCCTGAACCCTGGACCCTCAGCCCTGAACCTGTTCATCTGTAGGCCGGAATAAAATAGTCTGACTTTTTTCGGACCCTCAACCCTGAACCTGTTCATCTGTAGGCCGGAATAAAAAAAGTCTGACTTTTTTCGGACCCTCAACCCTGGACCACCCTGGACCCGGAATAAAATAGTCTGACTTTTTTCGGACCCTCAACCCGAAACCCAAAACCCTCAACCCTGCAATTTGCCTAAACCCTGAACCCTGGACCACCCTGGACCTGTTCATCTGTAGGCCGGAATAAAATAGTCTGACTTTTTTCGGACCCTCAACCCGAAACCCAAAACCCTCAACCCTGCAATTTGCCTAAACCCTGAACCCTGGACCCTCAACCCGGAACCCCAAACCTTAAGCCCAAGCCCCGCCTCAATCCCGGAACTCCGAAGTGCGAGCTTGGCTGGCTTCAAACAATCGGTTGCACTGCTCTCGATCTGCACAAGGCTGGTGCGAATGCAGGATTAGGTTTCAGCTTGTCGGTGCAGGAGGGCCCCCAAATCCTCACGCAGAACGTTCCTTATTGTATAGTTTGCTACTGTTTCTTCGAGTCCTATTATACCCTAAAGCCTATATATAATTACTGTAGGAACCTGCACCGGCATCGCGACACCTGCTGCTGTGCCAGCTTCACTAGCTATAGTTACCGGCGACCGTTCCGAAGTGTCCGATGGAAACATGTCCACAGCTTGAAGCGACCCTCAAACCCCCGCCCGAAACCTCAAAGCCCGGAAGCCAAAGCTCTTTCGTGAAATCCCCGAGCCTGCGAAAGCTGAAGCCACATTCAGTGCTGTGCGACAAGTGACATTCTGTAGCAGTCATCGGAGGATCCTTGGTCGATGTTGTGCGAAGATTAGGCCCGAAGCTGAGCCACCAAGAGTTCATGCCGCTTAAACTCAACACCAGCCCTAAGCCTCAACCCTAAGCCTTAAAACACCACCCTTAACCCTAAGCTTCAAAACACAACCCTTAACCCTAAGCCTTAAAACACCACAGTTAACCCTAAGCCTTAAACCGCCACCCTTAACCCTAAGCCTTAAACCACCACCCTTAACCCTAAGCCTCAACCCTTAAGGCCCTTGACCCTAAGCTTCAACCCTAAGCCTTAAAAACACCACCCTTAACCCTAAGCCTTAAAGTGTTAAAGCTTGATGAACAAAGTATGTCGCCACCGAAACTGTGAAGACCCCAAAATCCTGAAGCTTTCTGAATGAAGTATATCACCCCAGAGCGCCCCAAATCCTCAAATCGAGAACGCTCACCGCTTCGCCGTCATGACTGTCCATGAGTCTGAAGAGAGCTCGCTTGCTGGAGCAAACAAGTTTTTGTGTGGACGATACAGCTGAAAGAGAAGACGCCGAATATCGAAAGGAGGCTGGGGTCAAGTTCAGAAAACACTTGCTGGAACGATATACGACTGGAGCTGCCACTGCTGCTGACACTTGTATCCTGGCTTATCATCATACTGAATCGGGCGGCCTGGGCACTGAAGATCTGGGGCTGCACCCGGACCAGGCCAGCATTCATGGATCCAGACATCTCCGGCTCCCGGGTCTTAGTTTGGCACTGTTTCTTTGTTTGTTGTTTGTTCGGTCTTTGGGGTCTTGGCTTGGTTGTGTTGTTGTTTGTCCAAAGCTTTTCTTCTGGCAAGCCCACTAATATGTGCGAAATGGTAGAGCGGTAAATTATAGTAGTATTGGCAGTGAGAAGCTAAGATGCCATCTTGCCAAAGACTTCGAAGAGCCCTACGTGGAATACGTGCATGTGCCTATGAACTGCAAGAAATCCTTCGGGCGAGTCTCGGTGCAGCATCCTACAAGGGTAACATCCGATCTGCTTCGTTGTGAGTTGAATGATTTAGGGCTCCTGGGGTCCGGGGCAAGTGCAAACTCAAAGCTTCTGAAAGATCACCTTGATGCCGATAAGGGTTACTGGGATTTGTACTGCAACCACCCCGTGGTCCAGAAAGCCTTTCAAGAAGGATTTCGTCAGGAACACGTCGTTCCCCTGTCTGTTTACTTTGATGGGGTGCAATACACAAAGAACGAAAACTTTCTGGGCTTCTACATGACGAACCTTCGCTCTGGGAAGCAACAACTGGTGTGGCTCTTGAGTGCCTTGGGTTATTATAGTTATTGCTGCCGTTGTAATAACCGTAACTTATTTCCGAAGAGACCTTATAAATAACCAAAGACAATATGTTTCTTCATTACCGAAAAACATCGCACACCCAGGGCTGTCAGAGCTCTGCTCGTGCGGCTGTCGTGGCTGGTGTTCAGTCTTCCCGCTTCTGGAACATTTCCGTTGTGACATGAGCCGTGAGCACACCGATATTCGACCGGCGATTTTGGATTTCAAGGCCGACTGGCCGGCGCTGGTCGAGATTTGCGGCCTTCGGACATGGTCTCACAACCTCCATCCATGCCCATGCTGCACGGTGGATAAGTCTTCCTTGTTGGCCGTCGGCACACATTCCTTGAATTCCTCGCCGAACCCACTTTTTACGCAGAGCTCTTATGACGAGCTCGTAGCACGGACTTTCCGGGCCGCTGGACTCCGCAGCAGGCAAAGTTTTCTGTTGTCTTCATCAAGTATATTCAAGGAATAAGAATAAAGAACCTAAAAGCCAAGAAGCGGTAGCCGTGAATCGAACTATAGGAAGTGATTGTGCCCGACGACGAGACCCAACGGCGACTTCACAGCTTGCTCCGCTACAGCAAGAATGGTCGGGGACGATGCTTGAAGGCGGCCTTCCCGCCGCTGGGTCTTCGTAGAGGCCATCGCCTGGAGCCATCTGAACATCTTTTGGACGTGGACAACTTTATCCATCTCACGACACCATTCAGCTGTATCTTCTACACCGGCGGGACGCACGGTCGCATCCTCCATCGATCACCTTTTTTGAGAATACCTGGGGTCTCGATCGACTGCTGGTGCATAGATGTGCTCCACACATGGCATTTCGGACCATTGTCCTCGTATGTCGCACATTCGCTGCGAACCCTGATTTCTTCGCCGGTGTATCAGCCGGCCAGTTATAAGGACCTGGAGAAAGAGGAGGCTGACAAGCTCGCCTTGCTTCATCTTCGTGCGGAACTTTGGTCGTTCTACAAGAGACGCCGAGAATCAGACGAAGATTGGAAGAGAAAAGGCTCAGAGGCCCGACGCATCCCACTAACCAGAGCCCGCTTAAGCTTTCCTCAGTAGCGATGGATGACCCCTGCAGGTGTGGAACCTGACCTTGACCATGATTGCTGGAAAATATCTCAAAGCGAAAGCTGCCGAGACACATGGGCTGCTCAACTTCGTCGTCGATAGACTTGCAAAGCATTCGGAACAACTGGCTTCGACGACTGAAGCTGCTTCTGTCGATCTGTTGCTGAGAGCAGGCACTGCAGCGATGGACTTCGATGCAGTGCTGGCGGCTCACCCGAGAGCGGTCGATGCCGACACTTGTGCACTGCTGTTCGACAACTACAACAGGTTCATCTGCCTGGCTGCCAGAGCCCAGATCCCTCTCATGCCTAAATGTCATATGATGTACCATATGATTCAGAGGGCACTGCTGAAGGGGAATCCCCGCTTTTACTCCACTTCCATCGACGAATCCCTGAACGGGGCGATCGCCCGTGTGTGCCGGTCGGTTCACAGACGAGGATGGGCACTTGCAGTGTATCGCAAGCTTTCTATGTTTGAACAGCTGTTGGCAGAGGATGAGGAGTGAGCTCTGCCGGCACTTGATCTTCTTGTTTTTTGGCAGTGGCGACTTTTGCCTGTACGAAACCGTTTAATTGGTAACATGGACGAAACCTTTCAGCCCGAGCCTGGACCGAACCCTAAACCCCAAATCCGAAACCCTAAAAAAATAGATATATATATATATGTATATATATATATATATATATATATATATTCGTACCCTGACCCTGTTGTCGTCCCAGGAAGATTGCCGAATTCCGTTTATGCTGCCGAGCCGCTGGTGCTAAAGCACTGCAGACGAGCTGCTTTCCGCGCAAATTATATTAAGTTTCAGCAAAGGCGAACATTAGATTGGGATTTCCTTCCGTGCTAAGCACAGTCACCCGAGGAGATGCCTGGATTCGCGACGCTGGCTGTGGAGCACTGTGCAAGTTTCACAGAAGTAGTGCGCCGGGAACGAGCCTTCAAGCCCTTTTCCTTAAATACCGTGCTTGTGTCTATATTCGATAGTCTATATGGGGTGAAATTCCAAGAATCAGAAACAGTATGCCTCACCCTTTCTGGGCTCTAACCCCTGGCTTCGCGAAGTTTCGGCGCCAAGCAGCAGGATGCATCGTCCGATGGCCGGAAAGAGCACAGATCGAAGGGCTTTCTTGCTTGGGTTTAGTGGGTGTTTGGGTAGGGTTTACGGTTTTGGCCTTACGGGTGGTTTAGGGCCTTTAGGGCTTACAGGGTGTAGTGTGCGACGGGTCTAGCTTCGGAAAGGCTTGCTCTGGAGCCCCTGCTTGAAGTTCAGACCCTGAACCCAAGCCTTCAAACCCTCCCAACTCCCGAAACCTTGCCAAATCCCACGCAAGCAGCCCCAACAACATGTAGATAATTTGTTAACTCAGTTCGTCCTCCCAGTTGTCCCTTTTCAGTCGTCTTGCACACCCCAAAGCCCGAAACACCAGAAAACTCCTCAACACCCCAGCCCTGAAAACTTGACAGAACTTAAGCCGAAATCCAGACTTGAGGGGAGAGAACTCTAAGGAGAGACACACAATTTCGGCTCAAGGGGCTCAAGCATCATGAGCATCAGTCTATGAGTTGAAAGCTCATAAGAATCATAAAAAATGTTGGCTCGTGCTATATATATATATATATATATATATATATACAATCGTTTGCTTATATATGCAGCCCTGTCTCATACACAACGGCAAAACAACCTGCTGCATTGGTGTGAAGAAAGATTTGTTGGACTTTGCGTGTTTTTGCTCAAGTTATAGGTTTCGCTGTTTCACCCCAAAATGGTAGCGGATCCAGAAACAAGTGGGCGTATCCAAGCAGGACAAGCAACATGCGTATCTACTTTCTGGGTCCGAAAGGTGGTCTGGGAAGGGGGGAGTTGAGAAAACACGAGCCCCGAGGCCCTTCTTATGTAGATCATCTTGAAGCAGTTTCACTCGAAGACGTTATCACCGATATTTGGCTCAAGACACAAAAGAAGCGTTATCATCACTGTGTCTTGGAATCAGAGATTGCCCTGCACTCGCTGGGATCGCTTCGGGTGGAACGGCTTGCTGCTTCACCCAGCTCGCCGCACAGAGCTGTGCGACCTTGTCCTTCCGGCCATCTCTGAGTGGTGAGGGCGCAAGGGATTGAAAAAAAAACACGGGAGTTTCGGCAGTCGCCAACCCCGCTTAAGTCCCCAACTGCTTGAATCATGTCCCACGAAATGTCGTCAGAGGAGCAAAGCTCCTTGCAGATTACTTCATCCAGTAGTGGGGTTAGGGCATTGCCGGCTAGAGCTTCCTCCAGGTCCTCCCGAGGGTCGCGTAGTAGCCATAGCTCTTCCCCATCGCCAACAGTAAGAAAAGGACCTCACCTTAAACAATCCCCGACCTCCGACAAAGGCCCTGGTAGTGGTTCGTTGGTGCCATTCGCCAACCAATCTCCACACAACCGGAGCCCAGATGATGGCCCCATCGTGCGCACAGGAGCTGCGCCAGCCCGGAGCATTCCATATGTTCTTACCGGCCAGGGTTCCCAAGGGTCTGGGGTTCAGGATAACTCGGGAGTGAGGTTGTATCAACAAAACATTAGCATAGGACTTGACCCCAATGAGGTGATGGTTCAGGCTAGAGAGTTCGAATCGACGGTTTATGGTCAGGCCCAAGCAGTGATCCAGGAGGCCCAGGGTCAAGCGAGGGAAGAGGCTAGACAATTCGGAACGCAGGTTGTCAATCAGGCTCAGGCTGCGGTTCTAGAGGCTCAAGCAATCGCTAAGGCAGCAGCAGCCGCAGCAGTGGAACAAGCCAGATCCGAGTTGAGACTAGAAGTCCAGCAGCGTGAATTGTCATTCCAACAAAAGGAAGCTGAACTGATTGCGCAAATCCGTACATTACAGAACGAGGTCACTGTGCTTCGTCATCAGAGCATGCCTCCACCTTCGGACCCACAACCAAACATCCTCAATGGCACGGAGTTAGCCTCTACCATTGCTGAGTTAAGGGCTGAGGTTAATACATTGCGGGATTCCGTAACTAGCCCTCGAAGACCTAGATTACCGTTGTCCAGCGGCGTCGGCACTCGGCCACCCGCTGCCTCATACCAGCGAGCACCCGCTCCAATAGCACCATCGATAAGGCAGAATCCTTCACCACATCCTTCATGGCATGGTTCCCCGGTCAAACATGACCCGTATTCAGATGACGATTCTGATGATTCGGAATTGCGGTTGGACTTCGGAGGTCCTCCAGACCCGTCTGATCCTAGTCCGCACGGTAGCGCCGGAAGCCATCGGAGTTACAATAGCCGCGGCGTCGGATCAGCGATGCTGTTTTCGGAAGATGATGTGTACAAGCACAAGGATTTGTCGTTCGTGAAAGTCGACTCTCTCCCTCGCGATGCTGCTCAGTTTAGATCCTGGAAGAACGCTTTTGACACCAAGGTATGTGCCATTGATAGGACCGGTTCTGATACATTGCTTAAGTGGCTTCTGCCCGCTTTCGAATCATCACAGGATACGGACCTATCAGATCCCCAGGGACTTCCGAGGTTTGACGCGCATTTGGCATCACTTCTTGCAGACCCGAAGCATCTCAACAATGAGTTAGGCATTCAGCTTCAGGGTTACATTGAAGGTTGTCAGCTTCAGTACACAGCCCCTAGGGGAAGGGTGCTGTTGCAAATGGTTGCCCACAGATTCTTCCTTGACCAGCGCCGTGGAGCGAACCTAACTGAGCAGGCATTGTTGGAATTGCAGCTAGACACCTTTTCGTACCAATCGCTATTTGCTTTCGCGAATCGTGTAGAGTACATCCTGAATTCAATACCCGTCGAACACCAGCCCTCAGAACAGACGAAATTCACTTGGCTGTTTGGCCGTTTGAAGAAGTGTCGTCTACTGCAGCGGCACATCGATCGCATCAAAGATGCCATGAGGGTTCACGGGTTAGGACTTGGGATTGGTTGTTTGCCAAGCTTAAGTCATTGATTGCTGAATTGAGGGAAGACGCTAACGAGACGGCCATCAAAGATGCGCTAAGCCCATCCCCCAATAAGCAGGGAACGAAAACCAAGGAACAGAAGGAGAAGGATCGGAGAAACCGCGACAAAGGCGCGGTGGCCGACCCACAAGGCAGTGATACGCAACCCGCATTGCCCGGTAAAGCGAAGCCTCCCTTTAAGGGTTCGGGTAAAGATAAAGGTCAGCCACCCGGTGCCAAAGGCCCCGGTAAAGGCACACCGAAAGGAGACAGACGGTGGTAAAGGCACGCCGAAGGGTACCCCGAATCCACCACCGCCAAAGGCACCGCCCAAAGGACCCACCGGCAGCTAAGGAGAAGGCACCCTGCCTCTTCTTCCCCAAAGGGACATGCAATCGCGGACCCAATTGCCCGTTTGCACATATCAGCCCCGGCGGCAAAGCCCCTAAAGCTGGAGCTGCAGCAAAGGCCACTGTTGCCGCTACTGTCGCTGCAGTGTTGCCCACTTCTGCCAACGGTAGATCCGTAGGCACGTCTCCACATCATCATGCTGGTGCCCGCAATTCGTGGTGCTCAGTTAAGAACCTCTTTAGCAGAATGCTTAGGTGGTTCACGGGTTTGTCCATCATTGCAACTCCTGCCACTATTCCTTCAGTTGACATCGCGTTGCCTGTGGCACAGTCTGGTCCGTTCCAGCTAGAGTGGATAGCAGATTCAGGTGCCGGGCGAAACCTTACTTCATTCAAGGCGTTAGCGCAACAGGGTGTAGGTCCTGGAGTCGGCATTACCGCCACCCAGGCTGATCCTATTAAGTTTGCCACTGGAAACGGGACCTTTACTGCAACAGAGGTTGTTCGCACGATTGGGTCCAAGTTCGGAAGTTCAGAGTCGTACTTGATGTCTGATTGTCCCCTGGTGCGCTCTATGGGAGAGTTGGTAAATCACCAGGGTCATCCATTCGTTTGGTTGCCGGGTTCTCTTCCTTTCTTCCTTCCGGATTCGTCTTCAGTTGCATCAGACGCATATGGCAACATCCAGTTGTGTTCAAAGGACGCAATATATGCCTCTCGCCTTGATGGTAATGTGCCAGTTTTCCAAGAAACAGTCGAGTTCACTGATTACGCAGCTCCCGCTTCATCTAGTGCAGCAGGGCCCTCTGAGGTACCGCTTGAAGGTGATGATCCCAAGCCTCCTGAGGCCGAGCCCGGTGAGGCACATGCGGACTCAGAGCGTGAAGAAGAAATCCCAGCTGTTAAGACGGCGCGGTTAATCAAGGATGCTGCTTCTTGTGAACACAGATTAGCCCATTTCCCTAAGAACCCAGCCTGTAAAATATGTACACAGGCCAGAATGTACGCTAGGAAGACAAGCAAACTTAGACACGACCCGCTGCATGATCGCGGTTCGCTAGAGCCAACCGCTGCGTTCAGTGAACGCATCGCGGCGGACATCGTAGTCGTGTTCAAGGAGTCTTCCAAAGATGATCGTGAATCGACCTTGCTTGTAGTGCGCGACGAATTCTCTGGCTACCTGCGCTCCTTTCGCCTAGTCA